CAGCAGGAACAAGATGGATGAACTTGACAGTGAGACTCAGAGATACTGACGGGAGAAGCAAAGCCTTCCCTCCCACCCTGTGTTTCTCAGCTGCACCAGAAGGAATCACCTACACTTTGGGGGGTCTCCCCACTTCTTGATTCCCACACACAATCAAGAACATCTCTAAAATGTTGTGTCGGCTGCCTTATCTTTGCTGTCTCCAGATCTAGTTGAACTGACAGCCTAGATTAGCCATCACAGCAGACTTCTTCCATTTCCGTTCAATCTTCTGTTCCCAAATCCAGGGACACTGAGCTGTCCGTGATGCACACAGGTCCTGTTCAGGTCCTTTGGGTCATGCTTCACCCACAATGGCTAAGAACTCTGATGTTCACAGGGAATTTGGATCCGTGTTTTGACAGAGCTGTCTTCATAGGCCTATGGTGTGGAGAAATCCCGAATCACATGCCAATGGCAGACAACAAATTCAATAGCTCCAAGTCTGACTTCTGGGACTTTACTTCCAAAGGGCTTAGTTGGCTGAGCCTCTCGAGCTTCGCTGTGTGCAACATACATCTCTCTCTCTCTCAGGCTGGGACCACTCCCTGTGTGCAGGTCTTCTTGGAATATGTCTCACAGCTCTGTCATCAGGAATCTTTTCTTGGGGTCTCCACTGCAAAATGAGTTCCCTGTGAGAGGTTTGTTCCTGAAACCAGAGCAGCTCCTCCCCGTCCTGAGCTATCTTGATGGTACAAGTTCGGGCTGTGTGGTGGGTCCCTCCAAGACAGGATGTTCCCTCCTCCTCTTCACATATCACTGAGTCAGAGGAGGACTCTGAGTGTTGGGGTCATGAAATCTATTCACTGTGGCTGCTGCCTTGTAGGTGGCTGAAGACATTGCCTTGAAAACTGGGGCAGATATGCAGGGTGTAGCCTTTGGAAGCTGGATCCTCCCTCCTGTCATGGGGCTGTCACTTCAGCTGACCCACAGAAAAGGGACGTACACTCTCCAGGGGATGCCCCTTGTTTCCCTAGTGCTGTGTTTCAGCACCTCAAGCCTCTCTGTGTCTCTCTGAGTTCATATGTATAGCTAAAGGCTACATAACAAGCAACAGTGCCAGATAGGAGAGACCTTCTTTTGAGTTGTTGGCCATGGTGGCCAAAGGGACTCCCAGATAGTAACCCAGCATAGAACTGGGAAAATGAACAGCAGACCCCAATCTTATCTAAAGGAATATTGACAAATGATTACCGCTAGATGAGGAACAGCTGACCTTCCTAAAACAGACTCTAGATAGGCTGACTAGATTCACCAGATGGACAAGTAGTTGGTAACACCTGGGGGTGCCGAGAGCACAGTGAACAGTAGCAGAGATAACAGAGTATAAGGGCTCTAGTGGGGGGAGGGAGGCTATGGGAGGATGCCATTTGGGAAGTGGGTGTATAGTTGAATAAGGTGGTTTGAGATGTTCTGTGTGATACACACACACACACACATACACAAATCAACAAACTATAAAAAATGTATAATATTTGAGGAGGAAGCATAAAAATTTATGTCATGTTAATTACTAGAGGTGAAAAACATTATCATTGAAATTGACCGGATGACTTTATAGACATA